GGCAGTGCCTGCCTTCCTCCCCCGAATGCCACAGCTCCTGTGGGGCAGCCCGCCCCTCCAGCCTCACCCACAGCCACGCTCTGCACGGTTGCAGCAACCACTCCCTTGCCTTGCCCCATGGGCTGTCCCTGCAGACCTCGCTGTTCCTTAATAGTTCCCTGTAACTCTGCCCCTGTTTTGCCAATGGCTGCTCCTCAGAGTTCCCCCAGTTACTCCCTTCTGAGGGAGGATTAGACACAGCGTCCACAGGAAACTTTTTGCCCCCATGTCCAGCTCTGTAGCTGTCAGGGCTCCCCGATGCCTGCTCAACATTTGGTGACTACAGTTCAGGAACTCAGATGCTCTGCATGTGTTCCGGTCCACTCGATTTCTTAAGTTTTCCAACCAGAGAAGATGAGCATTTGTTGTCAGCCTCAGGAGTCATTTCCGTGGAGTCTGGAGTTCCACAATAGCTCTCGGAATCTCAAATACTCCTGCTCCCTCCCTATATATTCAGTGTGTTTCTGAACCACTTAGCTATGCAAACATGAAGTGTTTTGGTTTTGGGGGGGTCTTGATTGGGGAGGCCCATTTCTCCCTTAAACCATCAACCACCTGGTCAGTAATCTCCAGAGCTGCTGAACGTGCCTCCCTTCCTACATATGGCCATCCCCCCAGTTCAGGTGCCTTGAGTTCAGGCTTCCTGGGGCCTACAACCGCGCCTGTTCTCTTGCCTCCCCCACCGCCGTTTCATAGCATCACGTCCTTCTGAGGAGAGCAGTTTGGTGATTCCTCATGATCCTAAGAACTGCTCCAAGCCACCCGCTGCCGTGAACAGACGCTCTTGGCATCACACGCCTCCAGTCCTGATACACGCAACATCTTCTCCCCAGGAAGATGTGAGCATGAGCCTCGTGGCCCACGGTTCCCCAACATCCCAGGGAGCTCAGATCCAAACAAGGCCCTCAGCTTGCTAAATCAGTGCACTAGCTCTGGAACTTCAGTAGGCAGATTAGGTCCAGAGTAAAAACTCTCCTCCTCCCAGGAGCCTCTCTGCCTGCTGCCCTAGATGGCCCCGGGGGACACTGAGGGTGAGGGCCAGGTCTGGAACAAGCTCCTGAAGGGAAACTGAGGCTGGGAGAGAAGCAGCGGCCACGGCCCTGAGCCACAGACTAGGCTGGGTGCAAGGAGGGAGAGGGGTCAAGCAGACTGCAGAGGGAGACAGATGCTGGTGTTTTGACCTGGGAAGGATGGAACAGAGCTCTGAGAAAGAAAAGATACTCAGTGGTGGGTGTGTGTGTGTGTGTGTGTGCGCGCGCGCGCGCGTGGGCAGGGGCAGGGGTGTGCTGGAACAGCCGCTCTGGCCGAAGTAAGACATGGTCATGCCCTGACCGGTGTGGCTCAGTTTGTTGAACCTCGCCCCACAAAGTCAAATGTCACTGGTTTGATTCTGGGTCAGGGCATACACCTGAGTTGCGGGTTTGGTCCCCAGTTGGGGCGAGTTCGAGAGTCAGTCAATTAAATGTTTCTCTCCCTCCCTCCCCCTCTTTCTACAAATAAATAAATCAAATCTTTAAAAAAAAAAAAGACTTGGCGAAAACATTTGCCAAGCCTTTTCTCCCTTCCGCTCTTTTGCCCACACTGCCCTCAGCAGTTATCACCCTGCCCCGGGGCCAGGGCCAGGGTAGCGTCCGACTGCCTGGCTCCTGCCCTGGCCCGAGCTGCCCCTTCCCACTGCTCTTCCCTGTCCATCCAGGGCCCACAACGCAGCGCTGGCCCCTTGCCCACGTAGCTCCTCCAGCCAGATGACACTCGAGCTGGGAGATTACGGGAGCGCTCTTTTTAACCAGCCTGGGCTCATGTGACTGGCTTGTGTCCAGGCGGACATATGCGGGCCAGCCCTGCAGGCAGGGCACACGGCGCTATTTATTTCCCACTGGGTCTCTGCAGGCAAAGCGAGCTGCCAGGGTGGGGCTTTCTCATTGTATTTAAGCTTCAGCTGGCGCCACTGAATTGCCCCAGCCTCAGCCTTTGCCCCTTTCTCAACCCTGTAGGTAAAAATAACTCCCCCCTCCCCCGTTGCATCAGGTGGGGGGTGCTGAGTGGGGTACTTTATTCTGTGGGGAGGGGGGCGGACAGCAGAGGGTAGTCTGGCTCCAAACCATGGCTCCGATACTAAATGAAGGCACAAAGGTGCTTGTTGTCTCTAGTTGGGGCCTCAGTCTTCCGCTTTTCTGTTGGGAAGAGCCTGGCACATTCTTCTGTTACACATAAGTGGTGGTCGAGGGGAATGGTCACGGCTGGTGAGGGACAGCAGCGGCCATTCATCCCCTCCCTGAGTCCTGGCTGTTGCGGACTCCCAGGGCATGTAGTCCCTGTCCACCACCTTGGGCATCCACCGCACTTCAATTCTTTGTCCACTAAATTCTGGAGCAAGCGTGCATCCCGTTCGCTTCTGGATTGCCTGCTGTAGCACCTGGAGCACAGGAGACACTGGGTGTTTACTGATAGAAGGAAGAGAAGGCAGGCAGAGGAAGGTGGGCATGGGGCCTGCCGCCCCAGGCCCCTGCAGAACATGCTGCTGGGAGGCCCAGAAGATTAGCACCCGGAGAATCTGTGGTCTGAGAAATCGCAGTCCTGCCTCCTCCTCCAGCCCCGCCTGCCCAGGCTTCCCCAGCTAAAGCCACACCTTTCTCCTCCGGGAACAAATGAACTGAGGGATTAGTCTCTCTTTGAACTGCAGCTGCCTGGGGCCACATCAGCTTGCAAGGGGTGGAAGGGGCAGCATGTGTGGCACAGCAGTTAGGAAACAGTTGTCCCTGCAGGAAGACCGACCACAGAGAAGCGCTTGACCCTGCCAGTTCTTCCAGCAGGACTGGGGGAAGCACCTGTGTGGCCATCGGCCACCCCCTGCCCACAGCTTCGCCTGAACATCTCTCTGGCATTCTAAAGTGGGCAGTGGTCTGGGGTTCCAGGCTGAGGGAAGGGACTCTTCAACCGAGAGAACTGGAGCCAGGACAACATGGGGCCACGGCTCAAACAGCAGGAAAAGATCTCAGGGATGAGTGCCCTGAGTCCCGCGCAGTTACCTCGGTCTTGGGCGCTGACCCGGTTTGATGACAGGACGGAAATAAACAATGTTGATTTAGCAACCAGAGAAAACAGCGACACAAGCCAGCTATTGCTGAGGGAAGAGAGGGAGAGAGCAAAGAGGCAGGGAAGCCGGGTGCCTGTCTTCTTCCCGCCTGCCGTTGCGCTGGGTGGCTCATCTGGGGTAGAACTGATGTTTGAGGAGGGAGCCCCGAAAGTCAACCCCTGACTTGAAACCGTGTCAGAGAAACCTCTAGGGGCAGCCCATCTCATGTTCAAGGTCAGGGTGGGGGCAGCGAGAGCCCAGTATTCTGGTAGATAGCAAGTCTCCCTAGCCTGTCATCTGTGCCCTCTTGCCCTCCTCCTTCAGCTCAGAACACAAGCCTCAGAGACACAGAACATCAACTATATCCTCTTCCTACCCATTCACTCGCAGGCTTATACAAATTTTAAACCCCAAACCAAGTGTAGATAGCTTGGAGTTTCCTCTAAACCCACTGGCTGCCTTTTATCAAATTCTGAGCCTATGATCTGAATGCTCTCAATGCCCCTTATCCCTTACAAATGCCACAGTGTGGTGCCCCCTCCACAGCAGTTGCTCAGCAAGTCACTGTTGACACAAATGGGCCAGTGAAGCACAGCCTGCATGGACGTGCTTCAGAATGGCGGAGGAGAGTGTGCCTGCGCCGGGCTTCACCCCAGGAGTGAGTGACAGAATTCTCCGCATTGGTTCGGATTGGCAGTCCTGAGCCCGCTCCTCCCTTAGGGGCTGGTCCGCAGCCAGATGCAAAGGCGGGGCTGGGCAGCCTGTGAAAGCATGGTCGAATTGTGCCAGGCCCCTGCTACACAGAAGCTGAGATCAGATCTTAGTATCAGATTTTGGTATCCTGAGATCAGGTCTAGCTGCAGACACCTCGGGTCGCTGCTTCTGGACGGAAATTCCTGGATGTTGAGAAGCAACAGACAATGCACCTGTGGCTGTCACTGCCGTTCACTGCCTTTTGTAAGTTCTGCGGTATTTGTCCTAAATGTACAAAAAGTCAGGGAAGCATTCTGGCTCGGGGTGTACTTGATAATGCAGAAACTTAAACAGCTATGTTGAGGGCTAATGCTCTTTTAAATCCCACCTGCCCTATAGCTTTTCTAGCAGCTGGTCGCTAACACGCAGCTGCTTCATGAACACAGGAAGGCCCTCCCCTAGCTTTGCACCAGGCAGCCATAAGGCAGGAAGCATGTTCAAAACAGAAAGCAGGCCTTCGGTGCAGTGCCCACTTAGCTCCTGTTGCCAGGGCAGTGATGGCTTGGGGCCAGATCAGAAGCAGGCAGGAGCTAAGTTGCCCAGGGGCCCCTAAGAACATTGTTTCCCTTTCCTGCATTTGCTCAATTCCCTCTGGCTTTAAATTACCATGTGGACCAAGGCCAGGGCCAAAGACAAACAGTGCAACTTCCCAAATAAGCTGTCTTCCTTGGAGCTGCTTGCCAGACTTCACCCTGGAGCTAAGCTGGGGCCCCTGTAAGTGTAAAGATGGGAGCTCCCGAGGAGAGAGCTGCCAGTCAGGCCCCCGGGATGACAGCCACCCGAGCACGCCACGCGCGTTCCCAGCTCCCTTCTTCACACCGGTACCGGTGTGAAGAACCCAACGAAGCTCTGGGGAACCAAAAGGACGTGACAGGCGGAGTCTCTGTGAGGCTGTCTCTTCCCGCTCCCTCTCCCTTCCCAGTCTCTCCTTCGTCAAGCCCACACGCGCCCTAGTGAGGGGCGCACACCCACCACACCGGGCGTATTTCGGGGCACGGCACTCAGGGCCCGCCCAGGCTGACCTCAGCCTTGGTTCTGAAATGGTCACGAGGTGCTGAAAAATGTTTCGTCAAAGCATTTCATCCTTACCTTTGAAAAGACAAACAGCCCCAAATATAACAACACAGACCCGGGCCTCCCAGTGCTCACCACAGGCTGTGTTCCCACACTGCCTGTACAGACAGAGGACGCAGAGCGAACCCACCCCACGCGCCTCGGCCCCGGCCCTTTGCCTGGTCTCTATTGTGAATGGGGGGAAAACACAGACTCGTCCTTGCCTAACTGTGCTTTCCAGAGGAAGTGTGTCAGCAGATTCGAACGCACAACGGAGAATCCCGTGATACCGAAATGAGTCACACCTGGTGCTTTAGAGGCTGACATCCTGAGCCGAAACAGCCATAGGTCACCATCTGGCCTGATTTGGGGCATTTCTTCTTTTTGGTTTATTTGTGTGGTGGCCGAAGAGATGAGACTCTTTCTAATCAAGTCAGGCAGGCTTCTCCTGTTATAGAAAAAGCCAGGCTCGACTTAGTGGTTGGTGAGCTATATTAAGAATCACGTCCTCTCCTTCAAAGTCTAGACAGTATATTTGTAGCTCTGGCTTATCTCAGGGGTTATGGATTCGGGGACCAGAGAGCTTTCAGTCCTTACATGGATGGGTTCATTGTGACTGTTAAAACTTCCCATTGAAATCAGCAGGCATAATTCAACAGACAGTTGGAAAGGATTACCCCTAATTTGGTTTGAAGGCCAGGTTTAGAAATAAAGTCTTTTAAAATCTTGGGCTTGGCGAAGCATAGGTTGAAGATGAAAGTGGTACATGTTGAAAAGAGGATATTAAATATGTTCTCTAACACTGGGGAGGGGGTCCCCCGGCAAAGGTCGACTCTTCCCTGATTTGCCCCTTCCCAGCCTCGCCCATCTCTCTCCTTATTTCGAAGACCCCGTGCGATTCATACAACGGATTTCTGCGTCACTCTGTGCACAGTAGGGTCTGGCGCTCCGCAGGCTGGTCGGCCCAGAGAGACTGGACAGATGGGGAAAACGTGTCCTGGCAGCCCCGCCTGCTTCAAAGGATAAGTACTTCTCCTTAGTTCACAAGGGAGAAAAGGCATCCAGGTGCAGCCCGGAACAATCGCTGTCACCTCTCCAGCTTCTGTGTTGGTGACATCAAATGACAGATGCCAAAGAAATAATTAAAAGTAAACAACAAAGAGTTTTCCATGATTCACTAAAGCGGTAGGAGTATTCTGTTAGTCAGGAAAGCTGAGAACCATTTATCAGCTGCCACCTAAAATTTAGCATTCAACTTAATTATGCCTAGTTAGGAATTAGGCGAAACGCAAATGTTTCAACATGACCAGCTGCTCCAGACCTTAACTGCTTTGCTGTTGAAATTTTTTATTTAATCTTTTTTGTTTTGTTTTTTGATCACACGATAAGCCCCATTCTTAACAGATTAAATGTCAGGAAAAGTAGCCCTGACTGGTGTGGCTCAGTCAATCGGGCGTTGTCCCACAGAGCAAAAGGTCGCTGGTTCAATTCCAGAGCAGGGCACACGCCCGGGCTGGGGGTTCTGTCCCCAGTTGGGGTGCGTTCAAGAGGCAGCAGGTCGATGTTTGTCTTGCACATCGATGTTTCTCACTTTCTGCCCCACTTTCCCCTGTCTCTTAAAATAAAGTCTTTAAAAGTCATGAAAAGAAAGGTATAATGACATTGGCCAGCCAACTTGTGTGTCCCAAAGCCCCTTAAATCACCCAGGAATAAAGCCTGCCGCCAGAGTCACACCACTGCCTCAGTCCCTCTGGGAAAAGAAGGCCCAGGCTAGACCCTCTCCTCTTTACAGAGCCCCTGGGGGCAGAAGCAGGACTTTCTGTCAGAATTAGGTTACGGTTGTATTTTCCTTTTCATTATTATCAAGGTGTCAAATACTGGGCCTCATACAACCCTCAGCCAATGAGCCTTTCTCAAAAAGAGACCGGAGACTGAGGTCGCCATGATGAGGACGGCGTGAGCACACTCCTGGCGTGTGGCAGGGAACAAACGCTCACCACCTGCATGTGGTCAGAAGCGACCTCCAGTTAACTGAGAACAGCAAGTCCAACCTTCACCTCATGGCAAATTAATGACTAAAATTCTACAGCACATCAAAAATTATATTTTTTGCCCAACTGACAAAAAATAAATATAATTTTAATTCATTCACACCAGACAGCTATTGTTGGCTGTTGTTTTTTAATTTGACAGTCTAAGGGAAAAGAGGTCAACGCCCCTGACTAAATAGCCAGGTACTGCACGTTTTAAAAACTCTTGCGGCGCCGGCTGAAAATCGCTGACCCAGAGCATCACGGAGTCACAGGCCTGCCCGTTTGCACCGCACACTCAGGCTGACGTGTGGAGAAACTATGATAGCACATGATGAACAAAGAATCACTCACTGGGAGGGCAGACAGTCAGACCCAGCAAGATGAGCGGGTATTAGCTAGAGTGGCCAATCCCCCACATTAAAAGACAAAAATTATTTTAGGAATGAAATAAAACCAAAATTCCTATCCAACTCTTTTCACTGTGTCAGTAAGAATTTGGAAACTCCTCTGATTTTGTCAATTCTAAAATCAGTTGACTAACTTACCCCGTTGATTGAAATGGCCTGAAGAACACAAGTGGCAAAAGAACTTAGAAACTGTCAGACACAGCTGGAACCCACCGTGCAGCTGTGGTCCTGTTCAGCCACTCACTGCTGTGGCTGGGAAGAGATCCCAGCAAAAACTTAAGTGGCCGCGAAAGGGGGCACAGAATGACAGCCTCTAAAACCTACAACTTGTCCCTAAACTTGAAACCCACTCAGAAAAGAACCTCCCCCAATTCATCTGGCACCACCGCCACCGCTTGAAAGCGGCCCACTCTCCCCAGCTTGAATCAGCCTGCAGAAGACACACGCCAACCTGAATGACTCTGCTCTGCGTCACTCTCTGACTTGCCAAATTTAGGCACAAACGCGTCCATTCACCTTCCCAGAGCATTCTAGAATTTGTCTGTTGTCATGGGTTGTCTGTATCCTGTCACTCAACCCGCTACAGTAACCTCACGGTCCAACACACAGAAACAAACCACACGCCGACCTCAGCCGCAGGCTCACTTCTCTCCCGAGGCCCAGAGGTGCTGGCCAACCTCCCAAACAGGCCTCTCACTGAAAACACAAACATTGACCCCCGGCGCACGTCAGCTGCTGCAGGTAGAGTTCTATCAACAGTTTTCTTAAAAGAGCAAGCCTTCCACACGGACAGCAACCAGCAAAACCACCTCGACATGTGCTCTGCCCAGCTGACACAGATTTTACCTGGCTTCTCAAGTCAGAGAATTCAGGAGTAAGAGGGCCTGAAGTGTGTATATGTTCCACTGCCTTCTGTAAATCAGGAGTGAAGGATATGGTGAGAGTTTTAACACTCCCAGTTGCTTAGTTACAAAAAATACCAGGACATCCCCCTTTTGGAGGCCGAGGCACCATTCTGGTCATTTGCTCCTTCTCATTTTTCACAGCCTGTCCTGTGGCAATCAGAGATACTTTTTGGATAAGGCAAAAGGTCCTTAAATAATGCGCACACGATACCCTCTGCTACTGTGGTGGCCAACAAGAGGAGCCTCCTGCCCTCACACAGTTTGCAGAGACTGAACTCTAGAATGAAAAAGGAAGTGGCTCATCCTGAGAATGAAGTTGTAGAGCAACGGTCTCCTTCGAGGCGCAGGCTTCAAGGACAGAGTGGTGCACGCACCTGTTTCAGAGGTGGCTGGAAGGGGAGGAAGACGACCAGCAGTGGAGAGTTGCTTGGTCGCTGACTCTTCTTGGTAAGACATTTTGTTAGCAATTAGTCTATTATCAGTCCTCAGTGTTTAAATCTTAGCAGAGAAAGAAGACATTGAAATGACGAGAAATGAAAGGGGTTACTACTAGTTTCTGGAGTTCCTTCTTATAACTGAAGCTCATTCAGAATCTAGGGACCAGTGTTCTGTTTAAATTGAAAGTGGGAGAACTGGGGCACCCTAAGGTGGCAGATGGCTGGGGAAAAGAGAGAAAGCAATGAAACCACAATTAAGTTTACCTGCAAGCGATCACTTTTGTAAAGAAGAGAGTCCATGAAAATGCAGCCAGTAAGCTGGTTCCCACGGTTCTAAGAAATGAGGGAACTGCCACTTTACATGCCCACTCTGCCTTTAACATCTGGGTCACTTGGGGCAAAGCAGCTGCTTTCTCCTCCTTCGAGACCAGGGAGGGGGGCGGCATCTGGCTCAGTTGTAATACCAGTACTTGGTAAAGTGGTAAGATGTCTACAAAATGCTTTGCCCAGAAAACAAATCAGAGGAAAAATAATTTTTTAAATAACATAAAATAAAAACACTGCACCTCACAGACTTGAAGGGAAGAGAAATGAGTCACTGAGAAGCAGGAACCCCAGCTCCCCAGATGGCTGACGCCTGACTGGAGCCCCTCCCCCTGCGCTCTGCCTGGGCCCTTTCACCCAGAATGAGCCCACAGAAGGGCCTGCTGGGCTGAGTGAGAGATCTAGCTTCAGCTCTCATCCACAGCTGCGGCCAGGTCCCGAAGTACCCCTCTGGAACAGAGGCTGAGGGAGACCAGACTTCTGGTGCACCTTCTATCCTGTGAGAAAGGGATTTAAACCAACACAGCAGAAACACACAGGTGGAAGTACAACTGACAATAATACCGAAGATGCGCTGACCTATACAAAGTCATTTAATGCATTATTCCAGGATGGCCAATACAAGCTGGTTAGGTAATTAGCCCTTGAAGAGTTCTTTTTTTACAGTTATATAAAAATGTTTTGCCTTGTTAAAAAAAAAAAAAAGAAATCTATTCTAACAAAAACATCCATCAAAGGCTTGTAATTTTTTTCCATTTTCAGGTTTGCAAGGTATTTAAAAATACATACGTGTGCATCTCTAAGCATATCACCATCCATTAGCTAATCAGTTTTGGCAGCACACTGCACAGAGGTATACCACCGCTGGCTTCTGACATGAAGTTAGCTTTAAGCTTATTGGCTATGCCGACAACCGGAGGCAGCTTGGAACCCAGTCCGTGGAAAGCATTTGCAGGGTTTACCACCCGTTTGCCCGACACCTTCTCAACGGTGAGAGGTCTGGGTGCAGACTTGCTAATCCAAGGGTGTCTTAACGCTTGAGCTGGGGTCAGGCGGGCAGAGGGGTCCCAGTGAAGACACCTCTTCAAAAACTCTATAAACAA